TTTTTGCCTCTTTGATTATTCCCATTCTGCTCCTTTCTTGGTGCCTTGCAGTCTCGCTTCCAGTGCCCCTTCTGACCACAGTTCCAGCAGCCTTCATCTTTGCCACGAGATTTACTTCGGCCTCTGTTTCTCGAATACGAATTTTTCTTGCCCTTTTTGTTGCCTCCCTTATTCATAGCCCTGTTTCTCTCTTCCGTATTGAGTGCTGAACCTAAAATAACATCCTCACCCGATGCTCTTCTCCGAGCCTCCTTTCCTAGTATCAACGCCACAACATCCTCCAATTTTATCTTTGCAGACCCGAAAGAATTGTTTTCTGCCACGACAAGTCTATTCCAACTTTCCGGTAGACTTGATAAAAGGACAAGAGCTCTAATTTCATCATCAAAAATAATACTCACGGATTCTAACTGATTCATGACCGTATTAAATTCGTTGATATGTTCAGCAACAATAGTGTTTTCAGACATCTTTAAGTTAAATAACTTTTTCATAAGATATACCTTATTCACTGCTGAAGGCTTTTCGTACATCTTTTCTAGGACTTTGAACAAATTTGATGTAATCTTTTCTTTGGCGATGTTCGACGCAACTGACGGCGTGAGACACAGTCGCATAGTCCCTAGGGTTTTGTGATCCAAAACATCCCACTTTGCTTGCTCCATATCCGCTAGCTTCGTCCCATCGATAGGTTGATACAAATCCTTCTGATACAGAATATCCTCCATTTACATCTTCCAGAATGCGTAGTTCATGCCATTGAATTTTTTATCTTGACTTTGTCTTCAGCCATTGTGTAAACCCTTGACCTCTTAACCCTGAGCTCTGATACCAGTTGTTGGAATTTAATGCGCTTTAATCCACAGATAAACACACATAATCGAAGAACAAACTAAGAACATAAAGCAATAAGAAACAAGAAAGAACAAGACACAGATTTTACGTGGTTCGGTAATTTGTCTACGTCTACGAAGCTGTAGGGTTTTCACTATTGAGAGATAGGATTACAGAGAACGGCTATACATGTCGATCAAACCCTAATCACCAAAGTAGCTGTCTTTTGTATGTCCTACGCACCGGGCTACAAAACAGGCCCTATCGGCCCAAGCCTTCACTCCATGGACCAAGCCTCAGAAAATTTTTCATTAAAAATCACGCAACATTATTTCGGTTCGGGTCATCATCCGGATCAACATACAAACTAAACTCCACAACGGCCCAACAACAAGCATATATATATGTAGAAATCGAGTCGAGATTGAGCAATGAAATATGCATTTGTATATGTATGAATGTTTGGAGGTATAAGTGAATGTAAGTGTTACCTTGCCAAGTATGTGCCAGATGACATTTTGGGAGCATGGAGGTGTGGTGAGAGAGCCAACATATCTGTAGTACTTTTGGTCCTTCTCCTCAATTTCTTGGTGTTAACGGTCCCCAGAGCAATATGAGCCTCTTCATGACCTGCGCGCACCTCCTTATCCAACTCATCCAATTTTGTGTTTATAACCATTAAAAAGTAGTGTCACAAATTCCTAACTTTTTTACAACTACTTTCGTTTTGAAATTATAACCGATGCATGTATATGGCAACTCAAAAATCCGAATTAATGAGTGTGTAATTGGTAACATTACCAGAGCAACGATGGGATCAGCATGGCCTAATCGGCAGAGGATTGCCAGAACTGAGAAGTTTTTTTTTTTTTGGGTTAGTAAACAATATATTGATAACCAATGAGAATATACAAGGAAGAAAAGCACTTGTCTGCCAAAAACATGCAGGACAAGAACCAAAAACAAACAAAAAACAGGGGAGAAATCTGGGGAGAATGCTGAAAATGTGCAGTATTCTCCAAAGATTTAAACCAAAAAATATTCTATGTAATTAGCATAGAGTCATCATCATAAACAAAAAGAGAACTGGGTAGCTGTCATGAGTGAGCAATTCTTCGATTCTCTATGTTTTCCTTAAACTTCAGCGACATTAGTCTATTCCTAACAATGTTGATGATAACTTGCTGGACAATCACAAGATCCTTCTGTTGGTTCCTGAATATCCTTTGATTCCTCTCATTCCATAACATATAAACCGTGGTTGCCAAAACTGAGAAGTTGCCATCATCAGCCATGTGGACTAGATGGAGCTTTGCATCATATCTGCAATTAACAAATGAGAATTAATCCAGGTTTTGAGCAGGGTATTTTTGGTGATGTAAAGGCTCAGTTTTCTGCACATGGCCCATAATTGGGCTCAAAGCCCAATTGGCCCTACCGACACGGGGTGGTCTTTAGCCCATGGGTAGGCCCGGACCGGAGTGTCAAATTTTGAAAGAATACTAAAAATTGAAAACATGACCATTAAGACCCGACTGATGGCAGACCTCAAATGGAACCATCCCAAGTAGTAGAAAGGGTGAACCCATAATCAGTCTTTTTTCGGTCACCACATTGTTTTGACTAATTATGTTCTATGTCTTCTTTTCCACGGGAAAGTTCATTCGGTTTTGATAACAACAATCCCGAACCTCCCTTTCTCATTCATAACAAAATATCAGAGAGAGAGAGAGAGAGCATACTGGACGCCATTGATGCGGTGCTCAGAGGGAGAATGCTAGTGCATTTGCTTCAAGGTGTAATTCTTAGCATCTACAATCAACACTCCTACATTTTTCCCATAATGCACCTACGAGTATGGATCAATCATACATTGTAAGGAAAACTATTGTACACACTCACTCCACCACCCATCTCTATCATTACTATTAAACATTATTTTTTTCTTTCTCTTTTTCTCTATCTTTACTTAGTTTTTGAAAGAAAAGCATTATGACAATTATCCCACATCTCATGAAGTACTATGTTGTATATAGCATGATCCCACAAGACTTTCATCCACAACGATATTTGAAACTCTCCTCTCTCTCTCTCTCTCTCTCTCTCACACACACACGCGCGTTTTTTTTAGCTATATTTTTTTTATCTAAAATTGAAACACAAATCAAAATATTTATTTCCGTCCCCTCTCCCTTTCAATCCCACTTTTTTTTTTTATATCTATTTCGAGTGCAATACTTTTATAAATAATCAAAGACATAAAACAACAGTCTACTAATTCTCTCTGTTTTTTCCTAATGGGCGATATTAGGGGAAAATCCTTGTCTCATAACTTAATTTTGTGGGCCTCGACAATAAATTAAGCCTTATCATTTTAGAATTTTAATTTTGTTTAACTCCAAGATAGTAATATTTTTCTTATTATAGAAGTGTTTGATTGATTTGTAATTATAACAATTAGAAAATAAACATTTTTATGGTAAAATTTTTGAAGAAGATAAAATTTTAAAAACTAATTGAATTTTGACTAAAATATTCTTAATTATATTTGCTACTAGTAACAAACACAACATAACATAAAAATTTAGGCTACTTACGTAAATGAACATGAATAGATCTCACAAAATTAGAAAGATTTTGTGAATTAGTCATGTGATCAACTGAAAATATACATGTATAAAACTTAAGTGCAAAACTTGACTAATAATTATCATATCAAAAAATGAGAAATTTTTAAAATTACTATTAAAAAAAAAGACGTCATTTAAAGTCATTGTTATGAACCTCAAAGTGTATCAAGTCACCCTCGATGGAATACTGGAGAGAATTCAAAAGTGCAGGCCAAGCATGAGATGAGGAAGACAAATAAATGTGCAAATATGTTTACTAAAAATTGTGTACTTAGCCATTTTGAACTATTTATATTTACAATTTCTATGAATTGTACTATTCAATAGTTGCACGCATATAACATGAATATGAAATAGAACATACGTAATGTTTAATATATATTAAATGCCTAAATTACCAAAAAAAATTATGCGACGCCACATTGTAACATTTAACATCTTTATTATCACACCACCTTGTAAAGTTCGATTTTTGACAAATTGAAACAAAATGCATAAAATATTGGTTAAAACATATATTACATTTAATCTTTGCGTGTCATCAAGTTATCAATTTTGTCACATCCATGGACAAATATTTGACATTGATTCTTTGTTATTTGAATGCTGCAGGCCTTTGCTGTTTCAGCAGTTATATTTTTCGGTGAATATTGCACTCGGGACAACTAAAGGGATAACTCGTGTAGGATTATCAGCAACACTCTTGTGGTGTTACATGTATATCATCATTTAACATTTCCAGTGACATATCTTTTGCAAGCCCATCTGTTAGATCATTCATATGCATGTATGTCACAAACCACAACAAATTAGTTGAACCAGGTTGAGTATAACCTTTTTTGAACTCTGTTCGACTAAATCTTACAGCTATTATCTCAGTCTAAAATTGGCATTATCCATATTTATATGCAAGGGCGGTCCAAGACAAATTGAAGTCTAAAGTGAGAATTTCACATGAGATCCCGATCAATATTTTAGGAAGATAATAAGAAAATAATGATTTAGGTCCAATGTTTTAGTGATTTTGGGATCGGATGGGGGTGCAATTGTGAAGTCAGGAGCTTAAAGACTTGGAAAGAGGCGATAAAAGTGGAGGAAAATAGAGTGAAAGGAATTTGGAAGAGATTGTTACTTTTAAAACTAGAAATCGTTACGTTTTTTCAGAATATTTTTTTTATATTTTAAGAGTTTCTATAGAACTTTATAAAGACTTGTGAAAATATTTTTTTTTACTTACTCAAAAGTAGTTTTAAGTAAAAAAAAAAAACTTATACTTCTTTAAAATCACTTCTCTATAAAATATTTCACCACCACCGCCACCACCTCACCATGCTGCCTCCAACCCACCACCACTATGCCACCATCACTGTCGCCACCGTCACCCCACCACTGTCGCCACCACCACCCCCACACTTTTTATTTTAATGTTTTTCTATTTGAGCATCCAAATTGTGTTTGTTTAATGAAAGCATTTTTTTATAAAATGCTTTTAAAAAATACTTCTTATTGAATTTTATAAGAAATCCGGAACAAAGCCTAATTGTTGTTCAAAGAATCCAACATTTCTAAACGAACTTTCTTGTGAGGTTCCTGAAAGCCAAATACAGTTCAAACAGGTCAATATAAGAGCAAAAATTCCACTATTTAAAACTCTAAAAAGAAATAAGTGAAAATATAAATATATTATTTGACATTGTAAAGCCCAAAAAATCAGGTAAGATAGACACAACTCACCACATCTAAAGCTTCCTCTAAAGCAAGTTTGACCTTATCAGATGACATCTCGACGTATTGCATATTTTGATCATATTCCGCCGGGTCGCTGAATTCTACAACTTCTCTAGCTGAATTCAGTATCTTTGGCATGACTATTGCACAAAGTAAAAAGATAGCATAAGAAAATTGACTAAGATCTACACACACATGCTAACAGATAGTAATAATTCGAGTAAATTATATTTTATCCCTTCAAACTATTACCCTTATTTTATTTTATACCCTTAATTATAAAATTTTTTACATTATATTTTAAAGTATCAATTTTATTTCATGTCACTCCAATATATAACGACAAACTTAAAAATCTTTCAAAATAAGGAGGGAAACCCCAAAGAGCATCGTATCAAGTATCTAGTACCACTTTATTTTACATTTTTTGCAACTAAAACGGTTACTGAGAAAAATAAGAAGGTCAGTCAGAGGAAGAAATTTAAAATTTAGGAAGGGTAAAGTCATAGATATGTATTTTTCTTGAATTTTGATCTACACATGTGTAATAGGCAATTGCTTATTAAAAATATAGACTACTTACATGCGCATTTACCATAAAAAAAATTGACATTCGTTATCAATTGGAGTGCTATGAAATAAAATTGATACTTTATGGTGCAATATGAGAAATTTTATAGTTGAATGTACGAAGTGATATAAGAGTAATAGTTCGAGTATAAAGTGTAATTTACCGTAATAAGTCCAATCGGTCTAGTACCTGAAGCAGCAGCTATTCTAATTGCTTTGGCATTATAACGTTCCAGAGGTGGAACCAGTGCATCAGCAACGGGTGGATGTTGATACCATTTCAAAAATGGAATCAAAGTAGCAGCTATTCCAATTGCTTTGGCATAATAAGGAACCGGTGCATACCATGTCAAAAATGGAATCAAAGCAGCAGCTATTGCAAATGCAGTGGGATAATAACATTCCGCAGGTGGGTCATGATACCATTTCAGAAATGGAATCAAAGCAGCAGCTTTTGCAAATGCTTTGGGATAATAACATTCCACATGTGGATCATGGTACCATTTCAAAAATGGAATCAGTGTATGAACAACCTAGATGATTTACAAATGTTTAAAAAACCACTGTCATAACAAGTTTAACAATGGATACTTAAAATTAGACATATCAAAATTTACCTGATCAATCTCGGAAACAAGCAAATCCGTCAACTCACCAACACAGAAACACAGCACACGACAAGCCGTAGCCTTTTCCATGATGTAAACTTTATCATACCTACGTGTAATACCAACAACAATGCAATAAAAATTAAAAGTCTTGAATTAAGAAAGTGAGTTAGGTTGGATAACAACAAACATCACTGTTCATTTGTTTGTGTGTGTATATATAGAGAGAAAGATCACTTTAAGCTGTTAAAAAAATCACTATTATGGAACTATATTTTGTTAGAACTATATTGTAACCAACCGAATAACATTTGGGTCAAGTTGAGCAACTACAAACACGGGGGGACATGAGAATTTCCAGGTAAGGGGAAAAATCCTGCTCTTCGTTTCTCCAAAGTTGGATCCATGTCTGCAGTACAAAGTGACATTTATCTATTATTTAGTCAAAATAAGCACATATAGAAAGGCTTCACATAAAATGGGTCCGACAATCTGCTCCTCTAATGCTCTGGCAGTTAATATACTATACACATTGTAAAACGAATTCCCATCTTGAACTTCTGGACTTCCTAAATTAAAAATGAACGACACATAAGCGGTTCATGCCAGCTAATTAAATAATTAAAGTGGTTCTATGTAAGTTGCCCACAAATAATTCGTGTGCATGCAATTTACATATATATATATATATATATATATATATATATATATATATACACATATATATATATATATGTGTGTGTGTGTGTGTGTGTGTGTGGATAACAAGCGATGCATAACATTTTCAATCTCTCTCTTCACAATTCTACCATCCCTACGTACCCTCACCTCTTCTCCTATTGGATCCATCTATTTTGACACTGTCTCCATGCCTAAAAAGTTACTTATTATTTTGCTAAATTAAAGAAAATGCAAAATTTAAATTTAAAATAGTTTTGTGAGAATAGTTATATAAGTCATATAGAATGATTTAATTTGATAAAATCAATGCATTATTATTAAATTATTCAACATTATAAAAATCTAGTACTTGATGAGGAAAGGTAGACAATAATAGTGCGGAGTTTGAATGGGGTTGGAAGTTTAATCAGAGTAGACTTTTGAGGAAGTTGAAAACTGATAAAGAGAGTGAGAAATTGTAATGTGCAAATTAAAATGTATTTAAAATTAGTATTTAAGTTTTAAAACTCATACAAGTACATTTAAATAGAAAAAAATAGGAAAAAAAAGATGCAAATTTTAGATTGAGATAATGAGTGTAAGATTTAGCTATACAAACTCCAAAGATGCATATGAATTATTTGACTATGTACTTGCAATATTAAATGATAATATACCTGTGATACTATAAGACAGCTACTTAGAATTCCATCCAAGTGTTCCCTTAGATTGTCCCGAGTGCAATATTCACTGAAAACTAGAATTATTGAAGCAGCGCTGGCCTGCAACATACAAATAACAAAAATCGATTCAAATTTTTTCTTTTTGTAATAAAACTAGGGCAAAGATGAAAACTACCAACAATGTTCCCAATAATAACGATAATGATGACAACACTAACAATGTATCTCTTGAGTCATTGCATCTAATCACAAGAAATGAAAAACGAACAAAGAAGCAATACCGAGCAAAATACAGACAAAAACAACATGAATGAAGTCATGCCTTCATAGAAGGTTCAAGATCCAAATATCAATAGTTTACATCTTACAAACATAGCCTTAATAGGCAATGGCCATTATCAGCAAGATTGCACCCCGACCGAACATTTCCTGAAGTTGAATCTCCCCTAATAAAGATGAACAAGAACTAGCACACATCAAGCAAGTGGCAACAATTGCAAAGGTAGATTCCCACATCATACAAAAATACAATGAATAAAACTTACTTGGATGACATTGGACATTTCAAAAACTTAACTTCAATCCTAGCTTATCAATATTCTATTGGACTAAAACAGATTTTAGTAATTAAATTTGATTTTTGGTCGACTTTGAGCCTAAATTAAAGTGAGATTTGCTCATTGTTTCAAGTAAATTTTTGTGGATTCGTGTTCTACTTCGTGAAGTCAATAACATAGTGTATTTTATTGCTTAAATCGAGTAATAAATGAAAAAAAAATAGGCTCTAAAGTGATCTCTTGATTTATGGAAATAGAAGTTGTGTAATGTGAGATTTGACATTAATCTCACATTAGTTAGGAAAAAAAAAATTCTACATGAGCATAAAAAGGCTAAGTTTGATCTATGAGATTAGACAGCAAGGGGTACCACAATTTTATGAGTGGAATGAGTGTCTACATGCCTTTAGTTCAATCACACACGCGCATCACTCGCTTTGCCACGATTCCTACCAGACACGGGTGTTGGTTAGACCATGCCTCATCATTTTGAAAAAAATTCGTTTAAAGAATTGGGTGTGAATTTCTTATTCCGAAATTTAATTTTGGTACCCGTTAGATTTAAAATTCACACTGATTCAAATTAGTGTTCCTTTTAGTCCTGAATTTTTGTTATATATGTTCACGAGTAAACAGTAATACAAAATGATGTCTACTGAAACACAATAGAAAGAATTGTTCTATTTCCAAACTTCACCTTCAACAAGCGTAGATTTATTCCAATTTTTTTCTTTCTCGATTCCGAATCATGTGTCTTTTCAAGTACTTTGGCAGATTACCAAAGTTAGTACAAATATAGATAAGAGTTAGATTAGTCCAGTTCAGCTGTTTGTGCTATTCCAAAGGTGAAACATCTGAAGGTGAGTGAACAAGATTAGCCTTCTAGTGTACCTCCAAAGCTATACTGGGTCTAGCTGACCGACCTTCTATTTAAAGTGTGTCTGTCGTCATGGCCTTCATATGATCTCTTTATTGGTTAGTCTGATCTCATGTCTACCCATTGCCTAACCCTATTCTATAGGTCACCGACATTGCATGTGGAATCTCCGCTCCAAAAAGGGAAGTCCCATCTAGGTTGTATCCGTTTGACATGATGACTGTCCGGATCAGTCACTATTCTCTCTATACCCAGTTTAACTCCATTCTGCATCACTGCATTTTGGCATTTAAGGCAGTCTCATATAGTCATATTTTCGGCATTAGCAGTTTGCATTTGAAAGTACACAACACAATTTTTGGTTTGCTGGGTGAGTAGATTGGAGTTCTACTTCTAGTTGCATGAAAATCATTGTATATTAGGAGACATACGCCTTGATTTCTATAAGCCCCAAGTGTGGCGGCAAAATTTGTCTTAAAGACATAGTGTCAAACACCAGTCTTGATATGCAGAAATTCAATAACTGTTCCTGATCTGCAAATGAGTCAATTTATATATTGGTTTGATTATAAATTTATGTCTAACTATTTCATACATACTTGTAACTATTTCGTGCATACTAGTGTAACTGTTTCATTCTTGACTATTACTATTTATTCTAAGTTGCATGATATAAATAATAGATTTTGATAATTAATTTTACTATATTTAGAATACCACAAACAACAAATTCAAGAATGTGATGTAAAAAATAGATCCAGTAACAAATGCTTCCAAAACATTCATGAAATATGGATGAGCTTATCAATAGGTATAAACATTTGCAGTTATGACATGCATATAATGCTTGCACAATTAAACTACATAACCTCCACTCAACAAGTAACAAGCCTCTTAAACATGTAATGTGCAATGTTAAAGTACAAATTCGTAAGTTACACATTCTCTAATAGCTTAAACTTTAGAATAAATGGTTGTTTAATATAGTATCAGAGCAGAGGTCTAGTGTTAAGATCTCGTCGCCACCTGATCATAATTTTTTTTGCATGTGCTAGACACAAAATCTAGCCTATATGTGAGGAGTTATGTAAAAAGACAAATACTTAAGTTACACTCTCCCTAACAACTTAATCTTTTAGGATAGATGGTGATTTAAAAAAATAAAAATAAAGATCACCATTGAGTGATCTCTTCTTTCATCACAGTGGTAGACTATAATTTGCATAAGGACAACTGAATGGTACTTGTCCAAGAGATAGACAAATAGTCCTTTTATGAACAAAATTTTATTCCTTCATATTTAGGAAAAATAGCTCAGGAAGTGTTGGACAAAAATTGATTTTTTTTTTTTGTAGACTTTGAGCCTAAATTAAAGTGGGACTCACGTATGAGTTTGAATAAAACTTTGTGAGTTCGTGTTTTATGTACTCTGCGAGAAGAAAAACGTAGTATATTCGCTTGTTCAAATAGAGTAAGTGCTAAATGAGAAAATAGGCTCCAAAATGATACTCTTACAATGTGGAAATAAAGGTTGGGACAAAGTAGGAGTTGATACAAATTTCACATTGGTTGGCCAAAAATAATTTGGTGAGTATATGTATCTCATGTTTGCACTTTGGGTTAGGTCCAAAAGGGCATCCCACTTTTGTGGACGACAAAGAACCTAAATGGATTTGGGTTCGACCACACACGTGCGCATGCATCGCTACCTGGCCAGGCTCGGGCTTAAGCTCAGCCGTGCGTGTGGGTGGGTCCAATCTTATATTTTTAGATACAATTCTTTTGATAATGTCCTTAATTTCTTAACTCGAGTTTAATTGTTGCTCGTTAGAATTCAAATTCTCACTGGTTTCTGTTTGTTCATTAATGGACATGCATGAATGACTTCTTCTTAGTTGCATTTGATCAATAGGGGCTATTCCGAACAGTCACCTCTACATCTATAAATAATCTCAACAACAATTAGGGTTTTTTGAGATAAATTGTTTGCGGTGGTAGTGTTTATCGTCACAAAAAACATGCTTTGAAAATTTTTTTATGGCGGTATTGCTGTTATAAAAGGTTTAGTAGCTGTCATAAGTACTATTTGAGGTAGCAGTTACCGCCATAAAAACTTCTTGAGACTACACTTATTATGGTGAGGCATGCCGTGACAATACCTTGCCGTAATAAGTGTAGTCTCAAAAAGTTTTTGTCAGGGTAATATCTCGTTTCAAATAATATTTGCAACAACAAATAAATTTTTTTATAACAACAGTATCGCCACAAAAAAAAAAAAGAAAATTTCCTCCAAAACACACCTTTTTTTATGGT